TACAACTTACTGAATGTATAGTGTCTCATGTAATCACTCAATGAGTTTCAACCGAGGCAAGAAAAATGTACACTAGAGAGGAGAATTTAGCAAAAATTAAATGTATTATATTTTTACTCTTATAATTACTCTTTTTATTATAATTAATAAAATGTATAAATATATAACGTTATTATAAAAGTAGTCAAATATGACCTTGTATACAAATCATTTGTTACTTTTAACTTTAACAATAGGGCTCCCTGTATAGTTTAGTTTAGAAAAATGTCGAAAACAAATTACATACTTAATCGCAAGCTTGTTAATTATTCCTGAATAATTCTCATGACTGAACTCAAAATTTGGCAGCCCTGTTTGTAGGAAGTTGACGTTTTAGGTTTCCTGAACAACATTTACAAAATTCACTGTGCAAGTTAAAGTTAGATCTTTTGCTCCAATCGCTGGTTATTCAGATGATAGAAATAAGAGAAATAAGTCCCAATAGACTAGAGTAACATTTGAAGTTACAGTAGGAATGTATAGCTAATGTGGGGTAATGTGAAGTAATCAGCAATCGTAGGATTTATTCATGTTTATTTTTTAATGCCAGGTTGGAGTTATACATTGATTTAATAATACAGAAATGGTCTATGGGCCCCCTGAATTAGCCTTGACCACCCCCTGGCCACCCCATGTATAAACCGCTAGCTCCACCACCGTGTAAGAGGCAAGCCAAACGCTTTGATTAACAACCTGTCTCACATCAGAGAGTGATATTCTGTGGACATTTGGACTTAATTAAATAGTGATGTAATCTGGAGGTAGGCAAAATACTCAGGTATTGGCTATTCCATATAAGGCTGAGGGCTAACATCTAGTTGGAATGTATAAGAAAATGAGAAAGTCAACTGAGGAAAAGCCAAACAGAAAGACAGGGTGTACCACGGTAAAGATATTAAGCCAGATGTAAACAATACTAAAAATTATGACTTTTACAGATTCCCAAAAGCATTTTTTTTTTCAACATTTCACAACATAGTACTATGGTTACAGTTAGGTGACATAGTAGCGCATTTTAAACCAGACCTAAAATGTAAAAATAATATAACAATATATATAACTATATATATATATACAGTGGGGCAAAAAAGTATTTAGTCAGC